CCAGTGCGAGCAGCACGGACAGGTGACGCAGAACGAGACTCAGGCGACGGAGGACGAGACTCAGGCTCACGACGCTCCGTAAGACCTCCTGTCGGACAAGTGTAGGGAGAAGGACCAGGAAGTGGCGAGGCAGGCTGTAACTGTGACTGCGACTGGACAGGCGGAGGACACTCTAAGGAGGGAGCAGGACAAGGAGGAGGCGGCTGACCAAGAACCTGCTGAAGGAGCGGAACGAAGTACGGCCGCGGCCGTGACGTGCCCCCAGAACTAGCAGAGACAGCACCAGAACCCCCAGCAGCAGCTCCAACTCCCGCAGCACCAGCAGCACCTCCAGAAGTGTCAACTCCAGTACCTCCAGTAGTACCAGCTCCAGTAGCACCACCCGTCCCAGGACTAGGAGCACCACCAGTAGCTCCAGCAGCTCCAGTACCTCCAGCAGCACTAGCAGCACCTCCAGCAGCTCCAGGACCTCCAGCAACACTAGCAGTACCTCCAGCAGGACCAGTACTAGCAGCACCTCCAGCAGCTCCAGTACCTCCAGCAGCACCAGTAGCACCTCCAGTAGTAGCAGGGCCTCCAGTAGGTAGCACCTCAAACCTAGCCCGGAGGCTGCAGCGCCGAGCGTACCACTCACGTAGCCGCTGAGGGGAGGGAGGCTCCGGCCGCGACACAAGACCCGCAGCTCCAGTAGCCCCACGCCGGAGGCCGCAACGCTGAGAGTACCACTCACGCAGCTGCTGTGAAGAGGGAGCGCCACCAGGCTCAGCACCCCCAGGCTCAGCACCCCCAGGCTCAGCACCCCCAGGCGCAGCACCCCCAGTCGCAGCACCTCCAGGCTCAGCATTCCCAGTCTCAGCACCCCCAGTCGCAGCACCTCCAGGCTCAGCACCCCCAGTCTCAGCACCCCAAGGCTCAGCACCCCCAGTCTCAGCACCCCCAGGATCAGCACCCCCAGTCTCAGCACCCCCAGTCTCAGCACCCCCAGGCTCAGTGCCCCTCTCAGGACCAGAGTCAACAGCTACCTCGACAGGCTCGACTGCGTCTACCTGGGAAACACCTGAGGGAGCAGGACCCTGGGGAGGGAGGGGGTCTACCGAAGGGGCACCTGGGGTGAGGAAGAGAGGCGGGGGAGGGAGCAAAGCAGTGCGGTAGGGGAACAGACGGTAAAAGGGTACCGACTCGTCAAAGGTGACGTCTTGAGAGGGGAAGACACGGCGCGAGGTGGGGTGGTAAGACTGCCAACCAGGCGCGTCGGGGACAAAGCCAAGGAAGACACAGGGCACAGCGCGGGCGGAGAGCTTGTCCGCAGTGGTATCGCGGACAAAGGCACGAGCACCCCAGACCCGGAAACGCGATGCATCGCCAACCTGCCCCGTCCACAGCAGTATGGGCGAGGTCTCTGGAGCAGAGACACGGGGCCAGAGGTTGAGCTGATGCGCGGCGTACTGTACTGACGGGTGACCAAGACGGTGGTGCCAGAGAACTGTCTGGTGCGACAGGGAACGACACGAGCAGGGGGCCGACAGCTGACCTGACGCAGACACAGACGCAGCTACCTGAGGGGACTCAGTGGTCAGTGTGTACAGGCCCGACCCCGGCTGCCGAGTGAAGGTAGCCAGGTGACGACACGTCTGAGCACACGTGCAGTGTGTCACACGCTCGTAGGCAGGGGTGAACTGGTGAACACCCGCGTCCTGAAGAGCAGAGCCTGCCACCAAGTTCGTAGAGAACGAGGGGAGGTAAAGACCCGACAGGGTGCCGGACGGGACCGCAGGACAAGGGAGGACAGTGGAGGAGGTCGCAAGGACCGGGCCCCCAGAGGGGTCAGCGAGGGAGACAGCAACTGGCCGAGCTAGCTGCTCAAGGGCAGTGCGGTCAGGGAAGAAACAGCGGGAAGCATCCGAGTCGAGTGTGAAGGTGTGCAATGCCTCAGTAGACGCAATACCAGCAAGCGCAGACGCACTAGCACCTAGAGCAGCAGCCTCACCAGGACCTAGGGCAGCAGACGCACTAGCTCCAAGAGCAGCAGCCTCACCAGGACCTAGGGCAGCAGACGCACTAGCACCTGGAGCAGCTGTCTCACTGGTCCCAATGCCCGGGTCGGGCGGTACTGTCAGGTAGCAGTCACCCTCAACACTAATTGTCAATGCATACATGGCACCAAGGATAGCATCAAAGTCAAGAGCAAAGATATCAATGTTCTTCCTAAGCAGATCAGCCCAGCGGGGCAGCTCAGTGGCGTCGGGAAACTGCTCACGCCAGGCATCGTCAAGACGAAAGAAGCAGCGGTGTGCCGTGTGGAACCTCCCACAGGTCTGGCCAGTGCGGTCACCTGTGCGGATGACGTACGGGCAGGTACCTCCACCCCCAGACCCCCCACGCTGAGAGTACCACTCACAGAGCTGCTGGGGCGAGGGAGTCTCGCCGGGACGCTGCTGCTGCTGCCTCTAGCCACCGCCGAACCCCCCACGCTGCACCGCTCCACCGCGCCCGCCACCCGCTCCACCGCCGCCACTACTGCCACCACCGCCCCCACCGCCCCCACCACCTCCGCCGCCACCACCCCCTGTGCCGCCACTGACCCCCCCACCACCCGCGCCACTCCCACCTCCGCCACCACCCCCGCCCCCCCCACCCCCTCCACCGCCGCCGCCCCCGCCTCCACCTCCGCCACCCCTGCCCCCCTTGCCCCTGCCGCCCTTGCGCCTCCCACTAGGAGCAGACGCAGCCCCGACCCCCTCAGCTCCGAGGTAGTCGACAGCAGCAGCAGATGCAATGGAGGGGAGGAGGGGGGAGGGGGAGCACCCCTCAAAGAAGGGGGAGCGGGGGTCACCACGAGAGGCACCTACAGCTACAATGCTCTTCTCAGCTGCTAGGAGTTCCTTCTCGAGGAGGTCGACAGTGAGGTCAGTGGGGGAGAGGGCGAGAAACTGGTCCCTGACAATGCGAAGGGAGTCAGGGAGGCGGGTGACTAGGTGGTACAATGTGAGGTACATCGGGGGGGGGTTCTTGGCGAGGAAATCGGGGGGGAGCGCGGCACGGTAGCGGAGGTCACTGGTACGGAGGTGGGTGATGAGGTCAGCTACAGTGGCAAAGGCGGACAGGTCGGGGAAGAGGTAGGGCAGTGAGAGGCGGCCTATCGCAGCAGTGGCAGGGGAGGAGTAGCGCGCAACTACCGCATCGTACAGTTCCTTAGCGGTCTTATGCTGGCCGAAGTGCTCGCGCTCATCTAACGGCAGGTGGCTGCGAACGGCTAGGCGAGCGTGAGCATCACGGGTCTGCCACTGGGAGCGAGCAGTACTGTCAGCAGTAGCGGCAGGTGCGGGAGCGGTGCCTGACGTGTGGTCATAGAGGGAGACATCGTCCTTGGCAGTGATCTGGAGGAACAGGTGCAGGTCATCTAACCAAACCTCAAACTTAATCGGGCGGCCCTCAGTGTCAAAAGTAAGAACAGAAGGACTGGCCATAGTGGCAGTAGCAGCAGTAGGAACAGTAGCAGTAGTAGCAGTAGCAGGAACAGTAGCAGCTGAAGCAGTAGTATTGGCAGGAACAGGAACAGGAGTTGCTGCAGGCGGGGCACAGTAGGGCGGCGCGGCTCGGCCAGGGCGGCGCGGCTCGGTTCGGGCGGCGCGGCTCGGCTCGGACTGGGCTACGCGGCGGTGTGCGACGGGGGGGGCGTGCGCGTGGGCGGCTGTAGCGGGCGGGCCGCGGCTGTGCGTGGGCCTGACTAGCGCGCGGACGGCGGCCTAGAGGGGCGACGCGGCGGCCTACGGGCGGGGCTGCGATGCTCTGGGCGGCGGTCGACGGGCGGCTAGGGGGGCTGCTCGTGGGCGGCGGTGGTCGCGCGGGCGGCTAGGGGTCGGCGCGCGCTCAGAAAAGGCCGCGCGCGGGCTGCTAGCGGGCTACGCGCGCTAAAAAAAAAAAGGCCGCGCGCGGCACTAGCGAGCTGCTCACGGGCAGCAGGAGAAGGAGAGGCGCACGAGGGCGCACTAGGAGAGAGGCGCTCGAGGGCGCTACGTCATTGGGGCGCTCGAGGGCGCTTCTAGCGGAAATGGTGGGCCCTTAGGTAAGCGTTCCTAGGTCTAACCTAAGCTCTTAATACCATGTTAGAAACAAGAAGTGATTGAACTATGAAACATTGGAGTACAAGTATCAAACCCTAGAGTTGTGTACCCCCTAAAGGCTAACCCACTATAGCCTACACAGCAATAACATATACATAATGTTTGACAGTACTCTAAGGGGTACATTCCCTTATTACAGCGAAATCCAACCGTACGACTCCGGGCGGTTACGAAACTGTCCGGGCAGAATCCTCGCCACTGCTGCTGCCTGATGCTGTCTGCCCGACGGTCCAGATCCTTTCGTAACCGTGCGGCCCTTCGTGTCACTTCCGCCCGTTTGCCTTCATTCTTGGTAGTGCGTGCTTCGATTGCTGCGGTGAGTGTACAATTGTATTTCAATAATCACTATTCGTAACAAGGAGCACCCAGCATTTCTGTTTTAAGCAACCCTTATTATCAGTCCTGCACCTTTGCAAAACTCTGATTATCAGTGTGACCCCTTGAGAAACTTGCTAAGAAGAACGGTAACCCCGGGGCGACAGTGCGCCTTAAACGTAAACCCTGGAATATTAGGAAAATCTAAGCTTCAGAAAAAATTACCCTAAGCCATCACCAAAAACCACCCTGATTATCAGTGTATCAGGGTGATTTACACTGATAAAATTAGCCTTGGTACCGAACAAATAATTCATTTTAGGTAGATCAAAATCGTAACCAACTCCGGTGATTTGTGAACCACCTCTAACGCGTCTCATAAAAAACGGTCGAGAAAAAATCAGCTGGGTCGTGGAGTAGAAAGCGAGAAGCTAGCCTTTCTTCCTAGTAAATCATCCCGAGAGCTCATTCGGCGCAGGAAATCCGAAGAACTAAGGAACTCGACAAGCGTACACACAAGCTAGTCAGTGTGGTCGCGAGGGTGAGTGAAGCCACCTCACCATGCCTGCCCACGCACCTCCGAGTGCCTCGAGTCGTCGCGCCTCCCCTTGTCGCGCCTCCCCTGGTCGCGCCTCCCCTGGTTGCGCCTCCCCTGGTCGCGCCTCCCCTGGTCGCGCCTCCCCTTGTCACGCCTCCCCTTGTCGCGCCTCCCCTTGTCACGCCTCCCCTTGTCGCGCCTCCCCTTGTCGCGCCTCCCCTTCGGGCATCCCTTCCCATCGTCGCGCCTCCCCTCCTTTCGTCGCGCCTCCCCCCGTCGCGCCGCCCCTCCCCTCGTCGCGCCTCCCCTCGCCGCGCCTACTCTTCCCCTGCCCTTCTCACCTGCCCGTCCCGTGCCTTCCCTTCCCTACCCTTCCATTCCCTCTTGTTACCTTCCCTTCCCTACCCTTCCATTCCCTCTTGTTACCTTCCCTTCCCATCCCTCCAAGGCTGAGAGCGGAATTAAACAAATCTCTCCCCACATCCCATTCCTCCCCACCTCCCTCTCCCACTTTCTTGCCCCATCCCTGCTTCCCCTCATTTCCGCCTGCTTCCCCTCATTTCCCCCTGCTTCCCCTCATTTCCCCCTGCTTCCCCTCATTTCCCCCCCTCCTCCTCCTCATACTCCCCTGCTTCTCAATTCCCCCCCTGCTTCCCCTCATTACCCCCTCTGCTCCCCCTCATTTCCCACCCTGATTCCCCTCATCCTTCCCCCTCTGCTTCCCCTGCTTCCCCTCAATTCCCCTGTTCTTTCTCCCCCCTCTTCTCCCTTCCCTCTCTCCCATCGTCCCTGTCTCCCCTGTTCCCTACACCCCCCCATCCCTCCCTTCCCTCTCCCAATCTCCTCGCTTCCCTCTCCCCCTCTTCTTGTCACCTCCTTTCCCTCCCCCCCTTCTTCCCTTCTCTTCCTTTCCCTCCACCCCCACTTCCTATCTCCCCTTTACCCTCTCCCCCGTCTTCCTAATCCCTCCCTTCACCCCACCTGCTTTTCTTTATCTCCCCCTTTCCCTTTTCAACCACTTCCTATCTCATCTTTGTTGATTTCCTCTTGTGCGAGTGCTTCACACGACACGACATCCAACCATGACCATGTTCTTATTCCCCCTTCCTCTCTCTGGCCATATCAGCGACCACTCTGAAGAGTTTGCTTGCTTCACCGCGCATCACCCCATCATCCCAAGTTAAGGCGTGCTCGCTGAGCGACGAACCAGCGCCAGTCAGTCGCATAAGCTGTCCCAACCGTGCACAACTGGTGCTCGCTCAATTGCACCAGGTGCAACCGTCGTGACGATCTGAGGCTCGTGGTGAGAACCGAACCTAACCTAGGCGAGCGACTGTGTCCGGCCTTATGCACCATCACTCAAATATCTTAGTGCCTGTTGAATTCCATGGAAGACTAGAACCTGAGCGATGCGTTTGTCGAGCTCAGTGCTGCCTTTACACGGCACGGATCACAACGCTGCTGAATTGCGGTCTCGTGTGCGAGCCATACGCGTGCTCTCGTGTCTGAGCCGCATGAGGGATCTACTAGGGATGGACCAGTCTATCACCGTCATTGTCCCAGTCTCATTAGTTGACGCGCCTAAAAAATCGTCTCAGTTCTCGCGGATTGTTTTTTAGGTGCCTGAAAAAGGATCTACTAGGGCTGGACTGGTCGACCACTGTCCAATGCTCCAGTCTTATTTGTTGACGCGCCGTGGTATCATCTTCAGCAGCATGTAAGTCACAGTTTCGACGCGGCACTCCCATGCTCCTAGGTTTCCTTATTCGGCTGCTTCTGTTTTGTTTTTTTTTTCCATTACTCTCATCCTTCCCTCCCTCCCTCTCACCTCTTCTCTTTCCTCCTCCTCCCTTCCACGCACGCACCTACCCGCTTCTTCATATGCCCCTTGCCTTCCGCTCTCCTCCTCAGCAGTAGGATCCTCTTACCATTCTCCCAACCTTGATCCCACCCGCTTCAATCACTTCTCCCTCCCATACCTCATTCCACCAACCGCATTCGCATCCTTCTTTCCACCCACTCGCTCTCCTATCCCTCTTCGTCTCAGAACCAATCGCAGCGCTGCGTGCGATCAGATCCGCCTCAGTGCATTCAGAAGTGCTCTAAACCACTCTGCACCACTCTGAACTGCCTTAAATCCCGTCCCGCCTGGCAGCCATGGCGTCTTCAGTGCTGAGCCTTCTCGATCGAAGCCCAGACGACCCCGTCGCCACTCAGCTCCTTGCCACTCTTGCAAGCAGTAGTAACAGCAGCAGTAGCAGCACCACAGGCAGCAGCACAAGTAGCGGCAGCGCCAGCAGCAGCAGCAGCAGCAGCAGCAGCAGCAGCAGCGGCAGCGCAGGGGGTGCGAGCAGCCCCCTGGAGGCGGAGAGGAAGGCGTTTCCAGCGGTGAAGGGGCGAGCGGCGTGCGAGTATGTGAACTACAAGGCGATGGGGCTGTCGCTGTGTGTGGAGGACGGGAAGGTAGCGGCCGTGCACGTGTACAGTGACGTGCATGGATACAAGGCGTTTGCTGGGACCCTCCCCTTCGGACTTAAGTGAGTTGCATGTAGGGCTCACGTCACATGAATGTGACTTTCAAAGTTGTGGGAAGGTGGCGGCCGTGCACCTGTTTAGCGACGTGCACGTTTACAAGGCGGTCGCTGGGCCGCTTCCGTTTGGACTCAAGTGAGTGCGGCGTGTTCCAGCCAAATTACACGGATGTAGCATGCAAGTTGCATGCTTGTGACACACATTTCACATGCTAAGAGCTGAGATGGTAGCAGTGGTGCATGGGTACTGTGACGGGTACAGTGATGGTTCTGAAATATATATCCCTCCACTCCTCTCCCCTCGCTCAAATTGAGCATGAAGGCCAGGGAGGGGGTACAGGCATTGGATAGCCGGACGTGCAAGCAGGGAGGCGGGGTAGCAGCAACAGCGCCCATGTTAACCCTCATACCCCCACACCTCTCCTCTATCTCCTCCCCTTTCCTCCCCTTTTCTTCCGTCTCGCAGGGTGATAATGTATGCGATGGAGCGGGTGACTGTGCTGGGAAATACAGGTGCAAAGCCAAGGAGGATACAGATGTCGGAAGAGCCGAAGTGGGGGCATTGTTGTCATAATTCATGCCCTTCTCCCCATCATTCAATCCTCACCTCCACACCCCATGCGCTCATCCTTTCTCGCCTCCTGTCAGAGTGAGTATGAAAGCCAAGGAGGAGGTGGCAGCGCTGACATGAAAGCAATGGTGGAAAGCAGCGGGGGCCATAGTAACCCTCATACCCGCACCTCGTCTCGCACTTTTCCACTCCTCCTTCCTCCTCTCTCCCATCCTCCCAGGGTGAGCATGAAAGCCAAGGAGGTGGTGGCAGCGCTGGGGGAACCAGTCGTGAAAGCGGGGGGGGGCAGCAGTGGGGCGGTGACGGTGATATACTCGCAACTGAAGCCGGCGTTGCAGCGAGATATTGGGCTGCAGGTCACGTTCGTGGGGCGCAGCTGGGAAGATGCTGACAATGCTATAGACTGCATCACTCTGTATTTTGCAACGGACAAGTCATGAATCATGACTTTTTTTATGCAGCAAAATGTAATGCAGTGTTACTGTACAGTGCTAACGTCTTGTTAAGAGGTTTCGTAATTGAGAGGCTATAATTCGTAAACTTGGTGCCTAACTATGCGTAGTGTCGATGTGGTTTCAAGGGGCGACAAATTTCAGCCTCCACGAGTCGCCATGAATCTTCGCAACGAGTCGCGAAAGTTTCAGAGAACGTCAAGCACGCACGGTAGAAAACGGTGAAGAGGAGTTCAGGTTGTGTGCTTTACCCCAACGCACTCCTCACCCTCCCCAACACTGGACAGCAAGAACGTCGTAGAATGTAGCAGCGACAACCCCCACCATTATTGGAGGTGAGATTGAACGTCGTCAGTCTTATTTCAGCCGAATACAACATACACACACATATTCGTGAACTGGCTAGCGCGCCTCACCGCGACGTCGCTCTATAGTAATGACGAGGCACCCGCGAATCTTCTCATCATGGGCATATCGTGGCCGAAGCAGCGCGCGTCGTCGTTACATTCAGTACATAACATTACGTGGTCATTCTTACAAGCACGTGTCCTTCTCAATCAGAGCTACATATCAGCGACTAGTAGTGTTAGCTGTCACTGACAAATCTTTTAGTCTATCAGCTAATAGCTGAATCCCATGGCAAAAATCCTCAAGCCCCTGCTGCTCGCCTTTTCGGTGATACTCTGTCTTTCGATGTTTCTCCCCGCATTCGCCGGCCCGGTGCGCGTCGCTCGCACGCGACAGTCGCACGACGAGTACCTCCGTCAGCGACAGCTGAGCGACCGTGAGCGAAAACTGACCGACATCGTCGATCGCGGCTCCCGGCCTCCGCTGCACCTGGTCGAAACGAAAGCCAGCTTCGACAAGGAGCACCGCGAGGAGGAGCTCCGCAAACAGGGAGGCGCCGCGTCGGACGGGTCGTCCGCCACTCCCATCCAATACTGGGGCGGTCCCGTGCTGAGCGGCAACACGCTGAATGTGTACTTAATCTACTACGGCTTCTGGCCAAAGCAATCCGCGCAGACTGTGATTGAGAATTTCATTCGGTCGCTGAGTGTAGGAGGCGCCGCTGCGCAAGGGGAAGCCGCGGATCCGAAAGTGAGCAACTGGTGGGCGATCAGCTCGAAATACTACTCGCAGGCATCTGATGGGTCCGCGCCCACCGTCAGCACCGAGGTACGCCGTTTCATCCTTTGCATTGAGATGTTGAATCTTGGGCATGAGTGAAAAGGCACTTCCAGGACGACCAGCATGGCGTGACATCCGCAATCAGTAGCTCGGATGAAGTTTTTATGTTCCAGGTTACGAATGACGGTTTTGGCGAAAAAGCAATTCAAAGGCGAACCTTGAACGCGCTATTGTACTGCTCGATACAAGTGTATTTAGAGTTTCAAACGAGAATTTCAAGGAATTACATCCAAAATCCATTCCTTCCTTTCTCAGGTGAAGCTCGCGAAGGTCATCTACGACAAAGGGTCACAAGGGAAGAAGTTCAACGCCAACACTCCATGGAAAGGTGCGCTTGCGTTCCACCGTAGTTGACTTCCTTTCGTTAGTACCTGTCTCCCGTTCGCTTGCCGACAAACCGTCATCCCTCTCACCTCCTTCCGAGAATCGTACCCAGAATCGTACTAATCTCGTCACCCCCTTCAAATCGCAGTTGTCAAGAGCAAGATTGGCTCCGGAAAGCCGTTCCCGTACGACGCCAATGGCATCTACCTGCTTCTCACCAGCACCAACATTAAGGCCTCTGGCTTCTGCACGGAGTACTGCGGGTATCACACGATGGATCGCCTCGGCTCCAAGTCTATCGCGTATTCCCTCGTGGGTCATCACGGATTGTGCCGCGGAAACTGCGGTGCGAAGCAGACTTCGCCCAACGGGAAGCCGTGGCTGGACGCGATGTTTTCGACGATCGCTCACGAGATCGCGGAAGCGGCGACGGATCCCAATGCCAGCAGCGGCTGGTTCGACGCCAACCGGGAGGAGAACGCTGATAAGTGCAGCTACGAGTACGGAGAGACGCAAACAGGTCAGAACGTGTATGGTGACGATGCGGAGTACAACCTGGTGGGGCTCAACGGCATGAAGTTCATGGTGGAGCAGAACTGGGACGTGGCCACGGACTCGTGCGTTTCGCAGAGACCGAGTAGGGGATGCGATGATGAATTGTGAAGTTGTCGTGGGGTTCACGAGAAGAAATGTGCTACTGAAAGGGAACGGGCGAGAGGTGTGGCTGCAGCTTTCGCTTTGCTGGAGCACCTCGGCGGTGCTGCTACTTTGAGGCACAAGCCGCATGAATGAATAAGGGCGGTAGTGCAGTCCATACATTGGGCCGAATAAGCGTCTGAACGTTTGGGAACAGTACCGTAGTCAGGAAGGAAAGTCCGCTGTTGTTTATGATGGCAAATAAATAATTGGTCCTTGCATGTTTCCAGCAAGCTACAATAAGGTGGTTCTCCTCCCCTGTAAATATACTCCCTTCCTACATCACACTAGCCTGCTGGTACGACAACCACTGCTTAAGCAACTTAGAAACCTAACAACAGCCACTTCATCTGGACCCTCACCCCCTAAACACCCAGGAACAGCAACCACTTCACATAACCTTCAACACCAACCACTTCACACCTGGTTTTATCATGATTGAATGCGCTTCATCTAGCACCACGCTCCCGCCATCACGACCTGAGCCTGCAGGCCGCGCTGCCTGAGCATGGCAGCGAGCGTGTTGAAGACGGTCTGGTCGATCTTCTTGATCACCGCCGTCACAAACGTGTTGAGCGACCGCACATCATTCACCCCGCTCACCCCCACGCACAGCGCCGAGTTGTAAAACTGAACGGCCGATTCGGTGGGCGCAGCCTTGCACTTGATCCAGTCCAGCAGGTACGTCTTGACGCAAGAGGGGTTGCGGCGGTTGTTGGCCGCCATGAGCATGTAGTCCTGGAAGCTGCTGCTGGCGCCGGATGTGCCGGGGCCCCACACGGCCAGCACGCTGCTGCGCACGTCGCTTGAAGACTGCACGCTGTTCCACAGGGTCTCCGAGCTGCAGTAGTCCTTGATCCACCATGCGTACCACCTGCAGAAGTAGCAGACGAGGGGAAGGGGGAGGGGAGGAAGGGAGGAGACGGCAGGGAGTGGGGGATGGGGGAGCAACGGCTGGACGCTTCAATGGGTGTGGAAGCTGCAGTTATCCTTGATCCACGCGTACCACCAGCAGGCACAGCAGGAGGGAAGGGGGGAACGGGAGGGGGGAAACGGGAGGGGGGAAAGGAGAGGGGAAAAGGAGAGGGGAGGAAGGGGGAGGTCAGGAAGGGTGTGGGGAAAGGGGGAACATGCGACACTGCATGCCTTGATGGGTCTTGAAGCTGTAGTCGTCCACGCGTACCACCTGCAGGCGCAGCGCAAAATTGGTCATTTCGTGTGTGTTTTTTGAGAGGCTCACCTGCTGGCGTAGCAGGGAGGCGCCACCGTCTCGCAGTCGGCGCACGAGCACGTCTGCGCGAGGATCGCGGAGGCCTGAAGCGCGACGACGACGGCGAAGAGAAGCTTAGCAGGAGCCATTGTTGAAAGCTGCACGGGTCGATCAGCAGGCGGAGGAATTAGGGTAACCCGAGATAGTATCGTAAAGTACTGCTAGAGCGTAGCTTTTCAGTGAGTGCGAGGAAGCAAGACAAGTAGTAGAGCAAATAGCTTGCGATGGTTGGCTCTGGCTTTAACGTGGCTCTTATACCCGCATTTCTACTCCCACTACGCCTGCCTTCCATCGGAAGGCGGTCGGCTCGGAGCGTGCTGGACTCGATCATGCTCGCATCCTGGCTTAGATCGCCGAGTGGACTTGGACGACTCATCCTATGCCTCGCTGTGCGGAATGGTAGGTAACACGATATGTGCTGTGTTGTACACGATAGTTGCTGCGTTGTCTTGCTAGCAGCAAAATTTCACAGCGGTAAGTCGTGAACCACCGATTCTTCGCCGGCGTTTCCCACCAGGTTGACTCGGCGAGGATGACAACAGAGCAGCGGCGTACGACTCAGAGTTCGAGGCGTTGTTCGTCATATAAGAGACGAGCGGAAGAGCGAAAATGTAGAGAAAGGGATAGGAGACGAGAAACGAGGAGAATAGAGAGTGTGTAGGAGAGAGGAAGCAACAGGAGTGACAGGAGCAAAGGAGACAGGACTACACGTGCACCGACAGGGCCCAACGGCTAGTAGGTTGGGCTGGTTCCTCTGAGTCATGCATGGGGGATGCACGGGGGGACGAGGGTCGAACGGGTAAACTGGAATCTAGGTGGCTGACTCTGCCCGCGAAACGCGGCACTGCTGCGTGCGTTGGTACGGAAGGTAGAAAACACTGAAGAGTGAGTGATTCGCGAAAACGGTACTTCGTTCAGCACACAAAGAGTAAAAAGGAAAGTGCAAACTAAAAAACAAAAACTTTTTCTTAGTGTTACGAGTGCAATTGAGTGAGCGAGCGAGAATTGCACTATCGAAGCAAAAGTACAATGAGCGAAGGCATGAGCGAAGAATGTATAGCGAAACTATAGTGGTAACGGTAATGAACTGCGGGTGACGCGCGACGGGCCTGGAACCGAGGTTTAGGAAAATGTCGAGGCGGAGGCCCGGAGCGCGGGTTACCCGCCGAGCTATGAGGTCGGGGTGCGACGTGCGAAGGTGGCGGGAGGATTGTCGATGCGAGGGTTGCGAGTGGTAACGGTGCTGACTGTGGCGCTACAGTGGTGTACGCGCTGAGCAGGGACGCGAAGTAAGGAAAAGGAATTTTCCTTACACTACCCCCCCCCTAAGGAGGTCCTCCTTACGAAAGCGCGTGTACATCGGGTGTGTCGTGTCATGCTGGCTGGGCGATTACGTGGCAGTTGGCTTGTGGACGGTATGTAGGGGCAAAGTAGGCTGACGTGGAAGGACGGGCTGACGTACCAGTCAGCGCGGAGGAGGAGGTGGGCGGTGACGGGTGTAATCATGTGGCTGATGCGGAATGGTCCACAGTATTGGGGGCGAAGTTCTGGGGTGATGGGCAGGCGGAGGTTCTGGGTGTCAAGTAAAACTAGGTCGTCGGGCTGGTAAGTGATAGGTCGGCGGTGGCGGTCGGCGTTGCATTTAGCGATGATGTTCGATTTTTTAATTGCGTCTACTGCCTGGGTCCGTGCTGCTTGTAAAATTTCGGCGAACTGTTGTGCTCGTGGCACCGGGTTGTCGGGATGCGGGGTCATGGGTACTGTCGGGTCTTGTCTGTAGTTCAGGTAAAACTGTGATTGTTGGGTCGTGGCGGAAGGTGAGTTGTTGTACACGAACTCGATGAGTGGCAGTTGCTGTTCCCAGGTGGTTGGGTCGTCGCACGTGGCTCGAATGAGTTGTTCCGTGGTCTGATTTGTCCTCTCTGTCTGTCCGTCGGTCTCGGGGTGGTACGAAGAACTGAACTGTAGTCGCGTGCCGAACTGCTGCCGCAGGTTCCTCCAGAAGTTGCTGGTAAATTTCGTATCGCGGTCGCTGATGATCGCTGCTGGTATCCCGTGCAATCGAACGACGGTGGAGATGAAGAGGCGTGCTGTTTCTTCGGCTGTGATTGATTTTTTGCAGGCTGCGAAGTGTGCCATTTTCGTCAGTCGATCGACAACGACCAGGATCGCGTCGTTCCCACTCGCCCCGGCCGGTAACCCCGTGACGAAATCCATCGTCACCTGCTGCCAAGCACGCTGTGGGGGTGGTATCGGCTGCAATTGCCCTGCCTGCCGCTTCCGTGATGATTTCATTAGCTGGCAAGTGGGACACGATGCCACGTGTCACGGTACGTTGGTTAACATCTCGGGCCAATAATAATACCACTGCAGCTGCTGCCATGTTTTCTCTACCACGAAATGTCCTGAGGTAACTCTGTCGTGTGCCTCCTATAACAATAAATCCCGTAGCAGTGTGTGCCCTGGTACCCAGATGCGATCGGTCCCGGCTTTTACGTAATAGACTCCCTTTGCTGCTGCGAACTGCTGCGAACTTCCTAATGTGAAGAATGGATCCGTTTGGTACCCGTGGGTAAATAGGCCTGTCAGTATTCGACTGGTCTGGGCGAGTAGTATTGCGTGGATCTGGGCAGTGGGGCGGGTCAGTGCGTCGGCGATGTTCGATGCCCCCTTTTTGTAGGTGACTGTATAGTGGAAGTTTGACTCGAGAAAATCGAGCCAGCGAATCTGACGTGGGTTGAGGTGTGGCTGTGCGCGGAGGTACTGTAGTGATTTATGGTCTGTCTGTACTGTCACGTCTGCGCCGGTCAAGTAATAGCGCCACACTTTGAACGCGTGCACGATCGCGAGCATTTCGCGGTCGTGTATCGGGTAATTTTTCTCGGGCGGATGCAGTTTCGTGACTCGTATGCGATGGGCTGTAGGCCGTTGCCGAAGTCCTGTAGCAGTACGGCTCCGATGGTGATGTCGCTGGCGTCGGTAACTACTTCGAATGGGCGGTGTGGGTCGGCGATGCGCAGCACGGGCGGTGAACAGAGAACATTTTTCAGGGCAGAGAAGGCAGCATGCTCTTTCTTCCCCCACGTAAAAGCGACCCCCTTTCGTAATAAGTCCGTCAGCGGCGCTGTTAACCGTGCCATGTCGGGGACGAACCGACGCACGTAATTGACGATCCCCAAAAAACTCTGTAGTTCCGTGATATTCGTCGGGGGGTGCTAGGCTTCCACCGTGTCCAACTTTTTTCGGGTCAATTTCTACCCCAGCCTCCGAAATAACGTGCCCCAAAAACTCTAGCTTGTCCTGAAAAGACTTGCACTTGGAACCCTTTGTCAGTAGACGATGTTCGTCTAAAATTTTAAATACTGCTTCCAGATCTGCTCAGTGCTGCTGCTTGTCGCGACTGTAGACGAGGATGTCGTCGAGGTAAACTATCACGCATTTATCTAAGAGTGGCCTAAACGCCTCGTTCATGGTCATCTGAAATGTCGATGGTGCGTTGGTCAACCCGAAGGGCATCACGGTGTACTCGAACGACCCGTACCTAGTCCGAAAAGCTGTTTTGGCGCAGTCCGATGGTTCGACTCTAATCTGATGGTAACCTCCCCGCAAATCTATTTTCGAAAAATTCCGTGCTGTTCGCAGTTGGTCTATCAATTCGTCGGCGCAGGGAATGGGGTACCGCAACTTGACTGTTACCCTATTGAGCGCTCGGTAATCGATGCACATGCGAAACCCTCCGTTTTTTTTGGTGTGAACAGTATCGGTGCGGCGAATGGTGACGAGCTCGGTCGGATGAATTTCTTCTCTAACAGGTAATCTAACTGCTTCCTCAGTTCGTCGAGTTCGGGTTGTGTCAGTCTGAACTGGCGCTGTACGGTTTGGCTGTGCTCCTGGTTCTAATTCTATTCGGTGGTCATGCGCTCGCTGAGGTGGCAGTCCTTCCGGTAAGTCGTCGGGAAAAATCCCCGGGTATCGTTTCAACAGCTCCTGTAGTTCGGGCGGTACCGCTGCCAACAGTTTCTTGAAATCACTCGGCTGCTCTGCTCCCTCTACCACTGCAATGTCTACGGCATACACGTCAGCTCCAGCAGCGACAACCCGTTTCATGGTGACGGCGTTGACGTGTACCGTTGAAGACTCGGGCGACTGCCAGCGAGGTAGTTCAACCCCTACCGCTACTTCGCACAGTGCAGCTACCCGTCGTCTAGTCAATTCGCCAGTTATACCGCCGCAGCCAATCACGTCCTAGTAAAATGTCGTGCCCATCCAGTGTCGTCGCGAGCATTTCCTGTGTAAACTCGAAATTTCCCCCGAAGCAGACTTTGACTCTCTCCACCTTTTCTCGTATGGCCAGTGGCGTGCCGTCGACTAAGCGTGCATCTATCTCATGTAAACAACGGCTAAGTGTCAGCTGCAGTTTTCGTGCGGTTGCGGTATTAACTAAACTGTGGCTTGCTCCTCCGTCGATAAAAAACTTCAGTGCTGCTCCCTGTATTTTCCCGTGGATCAGTACTGGGCAATCCGTCGCTGTACCCTCCTTATTCGTCCGAGCCCAATCGATAGCATGAATCGGTACTGTGACTCGGTGAGGGTCGATGGGGTTGGGCGAGCAGGCAGTCTCGTCAGTAGTTGGCCCGATTCCTACTGACTGCTGGCGTTTCCCTGCCTTGGAGACTCCCTCCCCTGCTCTACTCCGCAGCGCCTCAGCTCCTCTGGGCACTCATTCTTGCGATGGCCCGGCCTATTGCAAGCAAATCAACGCCCCTTAAATGGCGCGGCAGCAGCATTCGTTGCAACGGCATGTACGGTGGCGTGCTCGATTGGTCCCCGAGGGCGATGTCCGTAACAGGACCCCGGTCTCGGACGGCGCAAAATGTCGATTTTCTCGGCGAGCGCGAGAATCTTGTTAAAATTCGAGAGTCGGCGTAGCATGATCTCGTGCGAAATGTCCGGCTTCAGCCCTCCGACGTAACGGTCCACCCGCTCCGCTTCGTGCATGTAGCCGACTTGTTCGCATAATGCGAGAAAATCTCTCATGTAGTCTTGAACCGACCCGAGCTGCCGCCAAGTACGCAGTCTCTAACGCGCC